GCAATATAGCCTAGTGTACAGTCTTTCCTGAAGATAAAAAGGTTTTAGACCTGTGGGTCTTCGTTTTAGAGCAGTGGGTCTTCGTTTTAGACCGGTGGGTCTTCGTTTTAGACCACAGGGTCTTCGTTTTAGACCAGTGGGTCTTCGTTTTAGACCACAGGGTCTTCGTTTTAGACCAGTGGGTCTTCGTTTTAGACCAGTGGGCCTTCTTTTTAGACCGGTGGGTCTTCGTTTTAGACCACAGGGTCTTAGGTCTTCGGTCTTCGTTTTTGGGTCTTCGTTCTCGACACATCCAATGACATAAGATTCCAAATTGACAAATATCGCGTTATAAGTGATATAAGTCGCTCTCGATCGCTAACGAGCACGTGAAATATGTTTGTTATATCTTAAATCTGTACGGAAAACATATAGTTTTGATGTGATTATTACTTAATCTAAAACAGGAATAGAACAAGACATTTTGAAGTTGTTGCTTACAAACCTTTGGTCACTAGCGTTGTTGGTTCCTGTCGCAGAGGAAGGAACTGACAAAGATTCCATTAGTGAACGCGTTGTAGTGGGCCCTATAGCGCTTTTTCACGGCGAACAGGTTAGTTTTCCCAAAGAAGCAACTTTTGCATAAGAAAAGAACTCACTTCTCAAAGGACGGAAATTTCATTGTTTGAGAACATCACCGCCTTGACGTCATGCGGAGGGTGTGAAAATGTTCTCTACAGAGCTGCTAATCTGTTCACAAACGTTCTTTTTGTTGTTTCGAGAGAGACTGCGTTTGCTTTAGTTGGAATCTTTGTGATTATAACTTCGCTTGCTATATCGGCCAACTAAAAGAAAATCGAAGGTCCGGGACAGATACAGAGATGCTGATTTACAATTTGAAAAATTATCTCTTGCACACTGTTCATGCTGGGTCGACAACGTTCCCGTATGCTAATTATCTTAAGGTTTTCTTGTAAAATTCAATGAAGTTAATATTGTTTTCTGTATACAAGGCGTTAAATCACTAGGCTAACTCAATACCAAAACGTTTTGTGTGATTTTGAAGGATAATACGTTCATTAAGAGTTATATTTTAACTGCCAATATATTGTAAGGTGTTGAATAATGAAAAGATGACAGCGTCTTGCAAAGGACGTCCGGCTGGTTTACCTGCAATCAGGTGTTCTTGCAAAAAAAAAATTGTAATAATAGTAATTAAATGAATAAATAAAACGCCTGGTCTCTGTTTGGTGCCTTTATCTCGACACCGGACCTTTTGCACTTGCTGATCCAAGCAGAGTGTCAAGCGTGCGTGTGAACCTAGCTAGCAACTGCCTAGCTCATCACCAGACTCCCCTGGTCGTATCTCAGCGGGTCATAACATTCCACCTGTAAGCGAAAGGGTCAGACTTTTTTCTTTGTCCCACCTAATGCTCGGGTCAACTGAATTACAGGCATTTCTCAAGATGGGCTCCTTGTTTCCCAAGAACGAGAGAACGTCATAGCATTGTTAAGACGTCTCAGAAATTTCCAGACATTATTGTCTCTTTGATAGCATGGTTGGACCTTAAATCATTCAATATATTGTCTTTGAAACCAGTCCCAAGTGATCGACAAAGGCTCTTTTTGTGTCTACAAGACCTGCTTTAGAATCATACCATACTGCAGGAAACTGGTGCTACGTCAACAAAACAGTGCCACTATATAATTAATGTATCATTCTTCTCTAATTGCTAATTGCTTTTCAACCGCCTTGGGTTATAATTTTACACCATCATTGTAGTCTCGTCTATTATTTTAGACAAAACCAAATCGATTGTAAAATAGCACGGCCATGGCAGTGGCGTAGCTAGGGGGGTCTTGGGGTGTCAGTGACCCCCCCCCCC